AAAATTGAATCACAACCATTATTTCTCAAAAGTCAAAACCACTTTTCTCACAACTCAATTTTAAATGACATATTATACATTATTAAATTGTATTTTATTATTTGAATAAAAGTTATCTTACGTTCCCTTTTTCTTTTGGCTTGTTCCCTTTTTCTTGAATAGATTTTTTTTTATTTTAAACATGTTTTTTTCTTTTTCTTTTAACCATTTTTCTTGAATATTTTTTTTTTATTTTAAACGCTTTTTCTTTTATTTTTCATTTCTTTTTTAGAACTCAAAACTTACATATACGTCCTAGTATTTTTCATAAATCTTTGAACCAGGTTTGTTTTTCAGGGGTTTAAGTAATGAAATATAAACCAATCATTTGTAGATAAATTATAATGTACCAAAGATCTGCTTATACGCACTATAAGTGGCTGTACACAATTGTTTCCATCAACATTTTTTTATTCTTGCGGTTAATTTGCTTTGCTTTGATTGTTAGAGAATATATTGGTAAAACTGTAAAATGTGGATAATCCTATTTTGAATTTGCTAAAAGATGTCTTTAATTATAAAATTAAGCTTATAGATAATACCTTTTTCACCAAAAGCATTGTATTTTGTTAACTTTACCCAATTTTAGCATTTTACTTTCAAACAAGATGGTTTTGCCGCCAAGATTCTTCAACCAATTTGGTTAGTATTGATCTTTATTTTTTGGTTTGCCTGCTGTGGAATTGGCTTCATCATTTCTCAGTTCCTTGCAAATGATTTTTGAGGATCAAGAGGTGTAATTGGGACCATTGTCACAATTGGTCAATCCACGCACATAAGCTATATTTAAATTTGAATTATTAATTTCGCTTTTTCAATCTTTTTCTAATAAAATGTAGTATTAATTTAGTTCCTTATGTTTCGTTAGCTATAATGTTGCACTTGCTAATTACACGATTGGTGAGTCATAGTGTTTCAAAACAGATGAACACCATGGAAGATACAAAAAAATGGGGCTCTTAAAACTGGTGAGTTTTACAATTGTGTATTTCCCTATGTTTGTTTTCTATGTATTATTAAAGGGGCTCACTTGTGCATTTTGGATTTCAGATTGAAATGTCTTGATTTTCTTTGTCATTTTTCTGTGATTTGGTCTAAATTAAGATTATTTTGATGTTACAGTTTTTAATTCCTTACCCTTCTCTCAATTAAATTCAGCACCCACTTCACTTTCTCTTCCAAGAAGTCCAGGGAGGCCTGATAATTTACTACCCTAAGGTCAAGATGGAAAAAAGAGAACGTTCTATGTAGAGCCTATTTTTACCATAAAAGAAGTTACCTGATTGCAGTTGACTTTTGATTTTCTATCTGCACTTTATCATTGTTGGTGATGATTTTGAATATGCCAAATTGGGTTTATGTTTAGTTGATTATTCGTGAATCACATGACTTTTTCTAGACAATAACTAAATTGAAAAGAAGCTTTTTGACATTCCCTGTTCCGGTTTTGTAGAACCAAATAAGGCCATAACCGGTAGAATCAGACCTGTTTATATTGATGATTATAGAATGTTGGTGGCTTTGAGAATATGACATAACTTAATTTTTTTTGTTGCAGATATCTGCATGATTCTTTCAAATTTCTGATATGGTGGTCAATAATTCTCACAGTGGTCAAAGTCAAGCTTATGAGGCTACTGATACAACAACAAAATTAGGTAATTTTCCAAAATAGAATGTTGTAATAGGAATAAATAAATGTATGATACCCCATAAAAAACAATAACCCTCCTAACCCATGCAGAGCATGGGCCACTTCATTAGTTATTATTATTTATTTATATTTATTTTATATTTTAATAACAATCTATCTATATCTATATCTATCTATCTATATATCTTATAAAACTAATATTTTTTCTTGAACCTCATGCATTTGAAACTCCCCAGACTATTCACTTCTACAAATTAATCGATGATTAATTGATATATTATGATTTGTAACTCTTAAAACTCTTCAAATCATGGTATTTAATTGATGAGTTAAATGAAATATTTAACTTATATAAGAAATTTGTAGATACATATTGTATATATGTCAACAAAAAATGATAGATTATATTTGTAGGGTTTGAAGAGTTATGTGAGTGGTTTTATGGATGTAAAAAACAATTGCAACTTTTTCAAATATAAATTCATGTAAACTCAAATTGAGTGCATGTTAAGTTTTAGATATTAACCAAGGTTCAAATTTAGGTATGTTTGTAAAGGTATATTTGAGATCATTTTTTAAGTTTATGTGTTATGCATCTTTCTATAATCACAGAATGATGAAGTGGAATTGATAATTACTTATGATGAGCTTTTGGTAAATCAACCATCAAGCTATTTATCAGTTAAAGCAATTAACTTTGTTAACATGTATGTATCTTTATGTTCTCTCCCTCTCTCTCTCTCTCCCCCTCTCTCTCTCTCTCTTATATTAAAATTTATATTTTATATACAAGAGAACATTATTCAACATGTATTTTATGCTATTATATACTATGTTAGTTTCTATTGCTTATTTTGTTGTAAATAACATCGATGAAGTTTTTTAAATTGATTTTGATGAAAAAAGTTTACAAATATTATTCCAAATTGTTGGTGATAATGACGAATTAAAACGAATGATGTTTATATGTTATAAAAATGAATTCTTTATGTTCTATCAAAATTTATATAGATGTATCCAATTTTAAATGTTTTTATAGTAATTAAAATAAATTGTCTTATTACATTTGTCAATTTCCTTTTTCCATATTGGTTATTTATTGTAAAGTAAAGTAAAATAAATAAAATAGTAATAATTTCATAAGAAAATATAAGTGATAAAAATATACCTCAAGTGTAATACGACTATTCCCCTAACCCACTCTTAATATATTTTTTTAAGATTGGTCGCAATACATATCAATTACTATAGTCTTGAAATTCAAATCACCATTTTATTTGGATTGTTCATTCTCTTCCAATATTTTATAGCTTTAAGGGAAACAATTAAAGTACAATAAAAAAGTATGATAGTTTATTTGAAATTTAATAATGGAAAATTTCAAATAATTAGTTTTTAATTAGTAAAAATTAATAATCGTTTAAAATAACGTAAAACTAAAGAATAGATTATATTATATTAAAAAATTATTGTTATTTGAAATAATAATAATAATAATAATAATAATAATAATAATAATAATAATAACAACAACAACAACAACAACAATAACAACAACAATATAGGAAATAAAAAATATTCAAATAAATTATTTATAAAGTAGTTAAAAATACATATAATTTAAAATAATTTTAAATCAAAAACTTAATTCAGTTTGATTAAAACACAACTTTTTATATCTTTCTTATCGTATATTTAAAATTATTATAATATTATTTACAACTTAGTATTAAAGTTATTATTTCAATGATAAATACTTATAATATTGTTTTATAACATATAACTGTTAATATTTATATTACATTATTGGGCATAAATCAAAAGTTTCAAACTCTCAATAGTTTTTTTATTTAAATGTAATTATGATTTCAAATTTATTGTAATTTACCTTTATATTTTCCACTACATTCAAAAGTTTTTTAAACTTATGGTTATTAATAAGAAATGCTTTTTTATTTTCTACTTATTTATTATACATATTGTAGCTATATTAGTAGTATATAAATAAGTTTTGATTAAAAAATCATATGTTTGAAAAGATTTGTGATATAAAATGAAAGAGTTGAAAAAAAAAATTTTGTTTGATGTAAATGTTATAATGTTGTAGTATTTTTATCTTATTAAAAGCTATAGTATTTTTCATATTATTTGTTATTTCTTTCATATATAAATCGGCATACGTTTTATATATAACTTCCACAACTTAAAACGTTCTATAAAATCATCAAAAGTTGTAGTATTTATTTTTTTCATACTACTTTATATTTTTATACATAGAAATCAATATATGTTTGATATATAATTTACACAACATAAAACGGTCTATAAAATCATTAATTAATAGTAGAAATAACCAATGATATAAAATTATTAAAACTAATATGTTAACTATAGAGTTTGTTTTGCTATTGACATTGGTTTTATATGTATAAATATTAAATCAGAATTTGTTAAATGTTATTATTTTAATTAAATAATTATATTCACGCACAACGCTCGGAGATTCAACTAGTGTAATATATTAATAAGCTACTCTTAATTTTACCTTTCATTCACATAAAAAATTTAACATACTGATACCGTATAAAGTTAATTATTTACATGCACTTACACAAAAAGTCAAAACACTCACCCATATATGTAGGATTGATTATAAGGTTACATATCCCTTTTAACAAACACATACATTCATCCACTCATATATAACGGTATAATCACCCTTTAGATTATATCATTCAGTATCATCATCAATTCCACTTCCAAACTAGATTGATAATACATCATAAGTATATGTATACCTTGCATTTCTCCTTTGGCTTTTGTTACAGAACAATCCAGATTATGCTCTTCACAAAATAAACATCCAAATCTTAATGTATCACATAGGCCAGAGCTTCATTTCCAATCCGTAATTGCTTCAATAGATTACGATTCTTTTCTCCTATTCTCCCTTTACGCTCTTGCTTCTCATATTCTTTCTTTCACCGTTCAAGAAACGGATACAACGGAGTTTCATAAAAATGATGTATTTACTTTATTTATTTATTTCTAATTCCTTTATTTGCAAAATGGTCCTCACAAAACTTTCAACATTTCAACATAATATATGATCTAATGCACTAAAAACTCCAAATATTGAATATATCCCACTTGTTTTCTTGTATTGCTCAGGCAACTGACCCAAGCTATAGTTGAATAACTGTGAGATTAAACCAGAAAATCAAATCTCCCACAAAATATGAATACCAAAAAATAATTTAAAAACTAAGAATTGATATTTGACAGGAAACTAAGTGAAGCTTCAAGATTAAAACTTGGAGATGCTGCAGGAGCTTATGTCACGCTCCTCAGGTACTACCCAAACAAGACTGTCAACATACTCCACAACTTTACTTATAGTTATTCTACCCATTTTCTTGAAGTTTTTAGCCATGGCTGCAATTGGATCATACAAAACAAGACAATCATCATTAGCATCTTCATCAACTTGAAAAAGAAATTCACCACGTAATGTGAATCCATATGGAACTATATCAGCACTAAACTGGGAAAACCCATGATGTTTGACCCATGATTCAGTCACCCCATACTCTTCCATCTCCCACACCTCACATTTACCAGCTTCAAAAATGCATGACATCACACAAAGCTTTCCACCCAAAACTCCCATCGCATTGAGGCACTCTTCATGGAGATGTAGTATAGAATCTGGAAGAGGTATCTCACGGAATGTCTCTGCACCCAAATCAAATGCCAATATCGTTTGTAACTTCTGTTCCATATCAGTATAACCAAGCCAATGAACATGGCCTTCGTGCCCATCTACACAAACTACCTCTTCATCAGAAACCCATTTGATGTTCGATGGAAACCTTTGAGTTATCAACTGCCACAAACCCTTTCTCATACTATACACCTCAACTTGTGATAACATGCTGATTGCACCCGAAAGTTTTGTAAGCTTCACCACTTTGTAATCATCAGTTTTGGGATCATACCCAAATCGGAAATGGTTTACCATCCACTCATCCTTGGGTAAAGAATATGGTGGGAGAGTTAACACCATAGACAGAGAAGGGTTCCAAATGTGAATTGCATAATCATATGATCCGTATTTGAAGCATATTAAGCCATTCACGGATCCAATAATATCACCCCTAGTGTCTTTAGATTGGGGACTTGTCGGGAGTTTGATGAAATTAGTCAGTTCGAGATCGGGAGAATGAGAGGTGTGTGCTGTGAATGGTCTCCGGTCAAAAGAAAATGCATGTCTGAAGAACAACAGAATCTCGTCCTTGTGATGGATTGAATGATGGAGGTGGGATTTTATGAAGGAGGATTCGGATAACAGAGCATTCCAAGATTTACAGACACACCTCAATTGAGCAATTTCTTTTGCCAATAACCTGATGAATATGTTTGATAAAACATCGCTTGGGAGCTTTTCTGTAATATCTGGGTGTTGAGGTGAAGCCGTTTCGAGTGTCAAAGTAACCTTCGCCTGTGAGGGTCTTCTCCTGTCTTTGTTTTTCCTTTTCAGCAGAAACTTTATTTGATTCCACATTTCCACTTCGAGGTGTATCAAATGGGTTTCAGAGCTGAAGAGCTGCAAGGTAACAGGAGAACCGGTTAAAAAAATGTCCAATTAGAGGAGGCCCGATCCCGATTGATGAGATAAAAAAACAAAAAAAAAATCAACACATTTTAACTTCAACATATCGATTTTCAACAAACTGTACATCAACCCTAAAAAAAAAAACAGATAACATTTGAAGTTAAACACACCTTAAAAAGGAACCCTATTAACAACATATTTCAAGATGCAGCTCCGTATACATTGATTTGTAGGCATAGTAGGGTGAGTTTATTGCCTAATTGTATGGTTAGAAGTTCTTAATCCTGCGGTTACAAAGGTGAACCACAATGAGAAATATACTTGCCCATTAGCATCACTACTCAGGTGTTCAATTAGTGGATTTTGATATCCGAAATTCAGTCTTTTTATTTGACACAACCAACTCAAGGTAAACTTTTACAGAATCAATTCAAATGAGAACGTTCATATAAAGAATGCGTACATAAGTCGGAACGAAACATATAAACATATACAAATTTTGCTTGAAGAATTTGACATTTGGCACCTTAATATAGAAAGATTAAGCTTAAAGTGTATGCTATCATTTTGAATATATGAAACATAATATTAACGAAGGAGAACCATGGAACCAAAAGCATGTCACTGGTGAACAGCTTCAAACTGACAGCCGAAGCTTGCAACAATAGCTTCAAACAGACAAACAGTCAAGTAATCTTGCTTAACTTATCAGTTTAGATAGTTTATAAAGTAGCAATTAGCAAATAGGCAAATACATGAAGTCTTTGAACACCTCAGCAGTAGAAAATAGTCAAACACACGCGAATACCCTTTTCAACGCTTGTCGTATATCAAAAAACGCTAACCAGTTAATCGCCGGTGAGGCCACAACGGTGAAGCAGGGGAAGTCCGTAATCGCAGCCGATGATGGTAAAGGAGGGAGGCCGGGGTACAGTAACCAACGATGGTGACGGAGGTGGAGGAGATATCGCCGACAGTGAAGGTCTGAAGGAGGGCTATGTACTTGGAGAAAGAAATCAAGAAACCAGAGTAGAAAGCGTGTGAAAAACAAAGCAATGTAAACACGAGTAAAGTAAACGCGAATATCGCTTTTTACTTTACTATCATTCGTCTTTACATGGAAGGTTCTTTTCTGTCTTCTTTTTCCCTTTTCCGCGAAATTTAACATGCTTCCTTTTAAATGGGAGTTGAGAAAAACCAGTTAGAAGGGGGACTTATATATCAAACGGGAGTTAGGATATTTCCACTTGCGATTTTGATTCATAAATTTACAAAAATAATACATGCCTAATAAATAATTCACAAATTGGTCCTGTCTTTTATAAATTTACAGAAATGATGTCTGCCTAATAAAGAATTTAAAGAAATTGCACCTGCCTAATAAAGAATTTACAGGAATGGTCCTGTCTTTTATTAAAGTACGACAGCACAAATACAAAATCAACATCAAATGGTTTTTGGATACTTCTTCTAACTCTTTTTCTTTAAGGAATGAAAATAGCCTTTAATATGGATGAATAGTGCTCCAATCTGGTAAATTTTCTAGAAGTACAACACTGTAACACGTAGAAATGAAAATATGATGCTCCAACAAACAAAATCAACAAAGTATGTTGTTATTTCTTTCGCTTAACCCTTCTAACTTATTTATAACAACTCTTAAAAATTGCGTACCAAACCAGTACCCAAAAATCAAAGTAGAACCAACAATCGTCGAGGGTAATGCAGGAGAATAGAAGCAGACATCAATGAGTATCAGAGAAGACAAGTGCCTCGGCCCAATCTATAGATCATTTAATGCAATTTTGATGTTTTCAAACAGTAAGCATTTATGTATCTTAAGTAGGGGTGAAAAATCGGATCATCGTGTCGTGTTTGTGTGTCTTAAGTAGGGGTGGCAAATCGGACCATCGTGTCGTGTTTTTGTCTGACACGACACGACAAGGTTTTATGTAACATGAACACGATGTAGTGTTTTTTTAATTAACATGAAAACGAACAAATTAAAAAATGACAAAAACGACACGACACAACAAATAACATAATATAACAATTAGTTTATTAAATTAATATTTAATCATAGATAACACGACAAACAAGAAAAACACAAAAGCACGAAAAAAACAAATGCTAAATCATGTCGAATTTTAAACACGAACACAACACAACAAAGCACGATATCATATTTATACTTGACATGAACATGACACGGACACGAATTCGATTTTCAATTTCGTCCCAATTTCATTACGTGTCGTGTCCCAATTTCATTTCATGTCATGTCAATTTCGATGTTCAATTTACAATAATCAAGTAATCCACACGTTGTTTAATCGAAGAAATCAAGAAAGGCACTGAGCTCGATATTAGTTGTCAGAATTGCTTTAGTAGCTATCACTGCACACACAGTTTAATAATCTTGTGCAGGAATAAGAACCACAACAAACAATTAACAACTATTTAAACTAGATCCTCTTCCTAATAATATTAGTTACAACTGTGATGACCCGTCCACACGATGCTCAAATATTGACTTAAAACTATTAACAAATTAACAAAATGAGGTTTTGAAATTATCAACAAATTCACAAAATGATGTTTCTAAGAGGCACATGCTTGCTATATGCTATAGCTAAAATTAAAAAATAATGGATGTGTGAACTCCATATCCATACCCACATATGCAAAACAACTGTAAGGTCCTAAAACGGATCTTTACCAATGATTAACCAATCACACAATCACAGAAACAAGAATATGAGTAGAAGAAGAATTGAAACAAGCTTGCACACGTTTATTACTTGAAAATGTCGGGGACAACTTGTTTACACTTGGTCGTGAACTGTCTAACATCAACAACCAATAAAGACCTACACAACCCTTATTTATAATAGACAATGAACGGAAACAGGACATGGGCCGGAAACTAGGTTTACGGCTGTAAACTAGTTTACGTCCGTAAACTCACTACTAACCGTGAACCCTACTTTGACCCACTGTTACACCAAAAATGCTCAAAAGAACAATTACAGTTGAAAGCCTAGACCAAACCATTAATTGAGCCCTTCAATCTCCCCCTTGGTTTGGGGCTAGCTTGGATTCAATCTTTGTCGACCACCGGCACATCTGACTTCCCCATTGCTCCGTTCCACATTCGCTTGTTTATAAGATCGGCAACCATCGACGTATACTCTTTGGCAGCTTGCTCAAAAATTTCCTCAGCAACTTTAATTTGATGAAGACTCAGTTGATGGATATCCCATTTCCCGAACTTGAACAGATCTCTCCGGTCATATAGACGAATGCATCCATCTTTGAGCTTGATGACCACGGAGGCTGTTGTTTCGTCAAATACCCAATAAAGCATGGAGCTTAAGGATCCATCTGGATAGTTTTGAAGTACTGGGATTTGCTTAACCTGACTGGTAGCAGGCCACATCACAACTTGAAGTAGATGACCAGTCTTGGGATCAATCACATCAGGATAATGCTTGATAATAGACTCTGCAGTCTTCATCGCCGGAAAGGCTTTCTTCACTTGGTCTTCCAAGAAGAACTTGAAGTGAGTTGCCTTTGGATCTTGTGAGGGATTTTCAAAAGGAGCTTGAGATAACTCTGAAAGATCCACCCTAGTCCATGAAGGGAAGTCATGACAGTCTTTGTACAATTCAGTGTTGCCACTATTTCTTCTCACAATCTACATATTCAACGTGTCATGAAATCCCCAAGAAACAATTCCGGACCTATCACTGTATGTATCTCTAAAACGTCTTTCTTCGAGGTCAGTAACATTGATTTTTGGTTGATCTCCAGGTGCATTTAGATCTGAGCTCTTCTTAAACAAAAGTTGTCCCTTCTCGGTAGATTTAGCAAGTCTAGCACGTTTAAGAGCGACGACGTTAGGAGCTTGAACAGGCTCTACCTCAAAACAATCTGCAACGCGGGATGATTGAGCAGATGGTGGTACGACCGGAGGATCTTGAGATGGCAAAAACATATTCGATTCATCAATAGAGGACTTAGACTTGTCACCAAGTTCTTCTGTCAGTTTCTTCTTCAGATCGAAATAACAAGGTATGAGGAGACCAAAGTGAGTCTGAAGATTGGAGATCTACTTGGTCTTTAACGTCTTATTTTCTTCAAGATCAAACACTTGAGTCTTGAGCATGATATTTTCACTCATAAGATCAGCCACCTTGATGTCAAGCTCAATGTTCTTTTGATTTAGAACACTTATTTCCTTTCGAAGCTCAACGGTAGAAGGATTGTCTTCTCCTGTGATACCTTCCCTAAAAGAATTTTTTTGGCTCTGGGGGAAGGCACTTTATCTTGTTCCTGGGCCAAATGCAGGGCCAGCCTTACGGAGGCAGCATCAAGATCTGGCCGTGAAGGAAAGAATCTTATTGGAGCAGAAGATCCGCCAGCTTCATGCGAGGTGCTAGGACCTTCACTAAAAGGTTCTGTTAAGATAATATCAGGAGTGGTGGTTGGAGGAATTTGAAGTATATCAGAATCAAGAATTCCCTGCCTGGGATCACATCTTCTTCTTTTCAGAGGAGGTTGAGAGGTTGGGGTTGTTGTATGATCACTCTGAAGTGGTTCTGTAGTAGGAGAAACAATGTCAAGGGGAGGATTCCCTGACATCATCACCATAGGAGTTGCTGTTTCAACCACTTTTTTGGTAGTAGGAGGCGTTGATTCGAGAACATCATTGGAGTCCTATATCTCTGTTGCTGGGTGAGCAACATCATCGATATTGTCAAGTAGTGAGTTGAGATTTTCAGTTGACAAGTAATCATCATTGCTTCCAAAATTCACCGGAATTTCATCTCTATAGAAACCAGTGAGATCAAGATCTTCATATAAGCCAGTTTAAGTTACACTCTTTGAAGACCCATCATTATAATCACTTTGCACAGGAACTGATGTCAAATAATGTTCCTCAGCCA